TGGCACAGCCCCAGTTTGAATGGGACCGAAAAGTGGCCAAACACACTTTGCCAGGTGGAGGGACCGCCAGACTACACAAGTTCAAAGCTAGTAGTCTGATTGATTCCCATGGATGCATGTGTGCRGCCGCGTTCTATAACTACTATAAGCAACATCAGGACGAGGGTATGTACTTAGTTTATGTCTCTGCTGCAGGCGAGCCGTTGAAAATGCCGCTAGAGATAGAGGGAGTAGTTGCCAAGTACCCTGATCTATTTGAAGAGCCAACAGGGGTTGTTGATAGGGAGGTCGTCCACGCAATACAGATTATCCCAGGGTCTAGTATTTCGAAGGGTAGGATCTATCGGATGTCTCCAAGCGAGCTTGATGAGCTTCGCCGCCAACTCAAGGAACTCGTAGAGAAGGGTTGGATCCGGCCGAGTGTCTCTCCTTACGGATCTCCAGTACTCTTCGTACCTAAGAAGAAGGAGGGCACTCTCAGGATGTGCATTGATTATAGGGGTCTCAATGCCATTACTGTAAAGAACAGAGAGCCCCTACCGCGCTTCGATGATCTGTTAGATAGAGTGCAAGGGTGTCGGTATTTCAGTAAGATAGATCTGAAGTCCGGGTACCATCAGATTGCAATCCGGCCCGAGGATCAACACAAAACCGCATTTCAGACCAGGTACGGTCTGTACGAGTTTGTGGTGATGCCTTTTGGCCTGTGCAATGCTCCTGGCACCTTTCAGCATGCTATGAATCGGATATTCCACGACTACTTCGATAAGTTTGTCATCGTGTACCTCGATGACATACTTATTTTTAGTAAGACTGTCGAGGCACGTTGCACACTTGGACAAAGTCCTTAGTCTCCTGCGACAGCACAAGTTCAAGATCAACGGTGAGAAGTGCGAGTTTGGGCGCACCCGTGTCTTGTACTTGGGTCATGAGATCTCCGCGGAAGGGTTGAAGCCCGATGACGCAAAGGCGGCCAGCATTCGTGATTGGCCACGACCTCAGTCTGTGACTGAGATGAGATCTTTCTTAGGAATGACAGGTTACTACCGGACTTTTGTAAAGAACTATAGCGTAGTGGCCGCTCGTTTGACTGATCTGACCCGCCTTGATACCCCATGGGAGTGGACAGATGAGTGCGAGGCTGCTTTCAGACATCTGAAGCATGCACTAACGCATTATGAAGTCTTGAAACTTCCSGATCCTRATAAGCCRTTTATAGTAACCACGGATGCTAGCCAATATGRCATTGGCGCCGTGCTTGCGCAGCAGGAGGGGCCAAAGTTGAGGCCTGTTGAGTACATGTCCAAGAAAATGTCGTCTCAGAAGTTGGCTAAGTCCACCTATGAGAAAGAACTCTATGCGGTGTTCTTGGCGCCGACCCATTGGAGACACTATCTCCTTGGGAGGTTCTTCATCCTCAGGACCGATCATCAGACCTTAAGATGGATGAGAACTCAGCCTGTACTCTCTGACGCATTGAAGCGTTGGATAAAAGTCATTGAGCAGTATGACTTTGACCCTCAGTACATCAAGGGTGAGTACAACAAGGTTGCTGATGCCTTGTCGCGTAGACCTGACTTCTCAGGTGTGCTGATTACTGAGTACGATCTTACGGATGATGTCACTCGATCCTTGGTGGAAGCCTATCGAGAGGACCAGTTGATGTCTGAGATCATACGCAGACTCGAGGCGAAGGATAAACAAACTTCAGTCGAGTTTGAGTTGGTCAATGACTTGCTGTTTCTCGAGAAGGAAGGGAATAAACGTTTGTGTGTCCCTGATAAAGAGTCTTTGCGTAGTCTGTTTTTAGGCGAGTGTCATGACGCCACCGGCCATTTTGGGTACAAGAAGACCGCAACCAATTTGCTGCAAAGGTTCTGGTGGCCCACGATGTTAAAAGATGCTAAGCTGTACGTGGAAACTTGTCAAGTTTGCCAACGAGACAAGCCCCGTACTCAGGCTCCTCTTGGGCTGCTCAAGCCCCTTCCAATTCCGCAAAGGCCGGGTGAAAGCTTGTCCATGGACTTCATGGATACGCTGGTCACCAGCAAGAGTGGGATGAGGCAGATCTTCGTTATCGTGGATAGGTTTAGTAAGTATGCTAGGTTAATAGCCATGCCGGAAACAGCGAAGACCGAGTATGTAATCAGGCTGTTCAAAGAAAACTGGGTGAGGGATTTTGGATTGCCTAAGTCTATTGTAAGTGACAGGGATGTCAGATTTACAAGTGACTTATGGAAGGCTGCTGCAGCTGAACAGGGAACTCAACTGTAAATGACTTCTGGAAACCATCCAGAAGCAAACGGCCAGGCTGAACAGATGAACCGCGCTGTTCAACACCTGTTGAGGCATTACATTAAGCCCAACCAGGTGGACTGGGACGAGAAGCTTGCTCTTGTCGCCAGTCTGTACAATAACGCTGTACACAGCGCTACCAGGGTAAGTCCTAACAGTCTACAGCTTACCTTTAGGCCTAGACTGCCTTTAAGACTTCCTAAGTCCTAACAGTCTACAGCTTACCTTTAGGCCTAGACTGCCTTTAGACTTCCTACTTCCTGATAACCAGCCGACTGTTGCACCAGGCACTTTGGAGTTCGCTTATCGTTACGAACAGAAAATACAGGAGGCTGTAGAGCACATGCAGAAGACGCAGGCAGCAATGATAGAATCTGAGAATAAACACTGCCGCCCTTCTACATTTCAGGTTGAGGACAGAGTCTGGGTCAAGTCTTCAGAATTGGGACAGGAGTTCGGGATATCCCGCAAACTCATGCCTCAGTACTTTGGACCTTGGGAAGTTTTAGACGTAGTAGGGATAGATACTGATGGTCCATCTTATGTCATCCGTATCCCTGGTCACCTCAGAACTTACCCAGTCTTTCACGCCTCTAAGCTCGCTGCGTTCGAGGAAACTGATCAGTTTCCCTCTCGTTGATCAATGCTGCCCCCAACCATGGACGGAGAAGTCGACATCGATGATATCGTCGACCACAGGGAGATGCCTGTTCAGAAGCCTCCGGGAAGGGGACGTCCTCCAAAGCCAAAGCTGCAGTTTCGTGTCCACTTCAGACATCACACAGATCCGAAGGAGGACCGCTGGTTTACTCGGGAGGAATTGATGCAGACCGCTCCTCAAATCGTTGCCTGCTATGAGAAGGATGTATTGAAAGGAAAGCGCCAGATGGCTCAGGATTGATCTTCTCAGAGGACTAACGAAGATATGGAGGAGGGAATGCGAGGCTCCGCGCGCTCAGCCCTTTCGGGGCCCTTTCTGCAGCATGTCGGCCGCCCTAAGTGAAGGCAGGCGCGACAGGCCCTCAGGGCCTCGATTTCCAGGGTACCCGGCAACTGGTGAAATTCAGACAGTTGCGCTGCGCCAGTTGGTTGAAGGCGCCCAGGCCCAGGCCATATTTTGCAAATGTATCTGAATGGTGACCTGGGCCAGACACGTGGGAAAGCCCGTGAGCAGGCCAAGGGCAGTTGGGCACATGCAACCATCAGGCCCTGGGCCTGCGTGTGAGGTCTGGGCCTGTGCCTACCGGGGCCTACTGGAAGCTTCCTGGACTGGACGCAGGCAGGCCACTTCGATATAAGGAAGGGCCTGCCTCCTCATTCGGCATTCGGGTGCTGGCTGCATGCTGCTCGAGCGCTGGTGCGCTATTTGCTGGCTGGCTGGCACTCACGCTCTCACGGGGCGAGCAGGAAGTAGCGGGCAGCCATAGCCGAGCTGCTCCACTGTGAGCTGGGTGTGACGCAGGGTGGTCCTTGGGTGCTAGTGGCATCTGTGTGGTGTGGATCGGGGTTGTGAGTGTGGCGGGAGACATACCTGGTGCTGGGAGCGTGCGGCATCGTCCGCTATATGCTCGTACTTCAGGAAGCTGTTGTTGTCAACATCGGCATTGTAGTATTAGGCTAGATAGGATCTGCCACATGTAGTCTGGGCGCTGAGCGCCAATAGGATATCAACTCTTGTTCTTCGTTGATGATGATGAGAGACTATTTCAGCATTGTCACTTACGAACTATTGGTGTGTTCTTATTTGGTGAATCTCGTGCTGCATTTCTGTTGTTGGTTCGAGGTCAAGACTATCTGGACTCATATGTATGATGCTGTTTGATTGCTGGAATTCACTAATGCTCATCTTCCTTGCAACTATAAAAGGACTGGCCAGCCTACAAAAGTGCTGGTGCACTTGTGTGCTATTGTGAGAGGCAGAGCGCTGAAGCCAGAGTGCTGCGCTAGCAGACAGACAGACACAGAGAGAGAGAGAGAGAGAGAGAGAGAGAGAGAGAGAGAGAGAGAGAGAGAGAGGGGCAGAGCGTTGAAGCCAGAGTGCTGCGCTGGCAGGGAGAAGGCAGCCATAGCTGCGCCAGTGCAGAGAGTTAGTAGATAGTAGTAGACTTCAGAGGGTTAGTAGGCATATCAGTGGGTGCATTCAGAGTAGATCCTTGAGTAGAAGTTACTGAGTATGCACGCATGTAGGGAGAGAAGACACAGCGCTAGGGAGAAGACCAGCAAGGAGGAGAGAAACATAAGAGAGAAGAGCACTGGGGAAGAGTTACTTACCTGAGAGCTTATGCTGGTTATTGGTTACCTTTGGTATGCGCTGATGAGCGCTGGTGACTTGAACTCTTATTGCTCTTGTAATAACTTGTTGGGATTCATAAGCTGCACTACCTGGTCTTCATCTCTTTGGCCTCCAGTGTGAACTTTGTGTGATCTCATACATGCATGTGGTGTGAATATGTGCGCTCACTGGTGTTGAACTAGAGGTTCATTGCAATACCGAAAACCTAACAATTTGCCCACCATGCATGAACTCATGATGCACAATGAATGACGAAGACAGACTTGCGGTACACAATGATTGAGGAAGATGAACAACAAAAACACCAACAATAACACTAGCAACACCCGCCATAGCAACAACAACAAAACACCAAACCAACAACAAAAACACAACCAACACCACTACAACCACAATATTATAACAAACAGACCTGAGACTTCGTATCCTAAGATTCCTTTGGCCACCCCAACAGGACCCGCTTCCAGAAGGTTCTCCCCTGAAGTGATTGAGTGTGATACCCCAGATCTCTCTCTGCGAAATACACAAGAAGAACACAAGTGCAAGGAAAATGAGCAATAGCGAAATGATAGAAATCCCAGAGTGCAAAAATCACATTGAAAGCCAGCAAGTCCAGATGCTGTCCAGAAAGCAGTAATGCACTGATATTTCACCAACGGAGAAACAAAGCACTGAATTCGATTGTCAATGAGAGCATACTCTCGCCACCACCAACATATGTATCCAGAGTCCTTCCTCCTACTTGGCGCTCAGCGCCCAGACTACAATCACACAGCTTTACCAGCAACCTACGAATTGACAACACATCCTGTTGACATCAGCAGCAGAACCGACGTACATGAAGATGTCAACCCTTGTAGACCATCGCCAAGACCAGGTATGTGCCCTCACATCATCATCATCATCTCTCTCACTTTCTCCCTCGTCCTCTCTACCCACGTCTTCTCTCTCATGCACGAAGACCACCACCACCTCCACTGGCTATGTCTAAGCCCCAGCCTGGCTATGAAGGCTGGGCTATGGCGCTGCTGAGGGCAGCGCCCTGTACCTCTCGACGCCCGTGTACGCCCGCATCTAGCACTAGCGCAGCAAGCAGCCCGCGAGACAGAGCTCCAGCAGTGCTGCCCCTCGCAAGTGCAAGTGCCGAATGTCCTCCCCGGAACCCTGCCCTTTCCTATATGGAAAGTGGCAGGCGCTTTCACTCGCATCCCACATGAGACCGGGTTTCCAGTAGCTTCAGTCCCGGTCAAAGTGTCTGCGCTCAGGCCCATTCAGACACCGGCTTGGGACCTCATTGGTTAGGCATGCCCAACCACCCAGGCACAAGCGTGCGGTGCTCCCTGCTCCGACCACATTGCTGGAAGAGCCTGGAAGGATCACAAATATTTTGGATTCTCACCAGCAAGGCGGATGTAACCAACTGGCGCGTGGCAACTGTCTGGCGCCCACCAAGATTTGCAAAAATTGACGAACTCAGGGCACATTGAGATTCAGGGCGGCCACCTTCACTTAGGGCGGGCACGTGCCTGCTGCAGGGCCTTAAGTCGAGGGGTAAACCCACGCACTCTCTCCTCCTTTACTTTGATACTCCTCGGAGAAGTCGTTACACAGTAGGTTGCTTCCCTTTCAAGTTTCTTTCGTAACTTGAGATAATCTGAGGAGCAGTCTTCATTAATTCTTCTCTTGTGAGCCACCGATCCTCTTTAGGATCCATATGGTGTCGGAAAAGCACTCGATACTGCATCTCCGGTTTCGGAGGGTGTCCCCTGCCTGGAAGCTTGGGCACAGCCATCAGCTTGAGCTCAACAATGTCATTGATGTCCACGTGTCCATCCATGGTTGGGGGCAGCATAGATCTTCTTGAGGGAAACTGCTCAGCTTCAGCGAAAGGTTGCAACTTGGAGGCATGGAAACTGGGTGCGTGCAAGGTGACCAGGGATGCGAATAACATATGAAGGACCATCTGGTTGATCTCCCACTATATCAAGGATTTCCCAGAGTCCAAAGTACTGTGGCATTAATTTACATGAGATTCCCAACTCCTGTCCCAACTCAGATGACTTTACCCAGTCTCGTTCACCTACCTGAAATGCAGATTCTCGTATGTGTTTGTTATCAGATGTGATCATAGCATCTTGAGCTTTCTTGATGTGATCTACAGCCTGCTGCAACCCCTGTTCGTATTTGACAGCAAATTTCATGCTGCCAGGTTGTTGCATACTAGTGAATACTTCAACAAGTATGGGCAGAACCAAAGATCAACCAATATAGGATGAGCATGTATGCAGCGGAAGTCTGAGAAATGGACTGACTCACATAGACTGAACCCATCCAGATATCACTCAACACACAAGCAATCGGAGATGGTGGGGTCTGAAGCCAATCATAGATGATGCTTCAGGCCCCGTACAACCATACACAAATGAAAGGTGGGAGGAGAGACGATGGAGGTGGGAGGTATAGGCAGCGCCAGATGTCACTGAGATAGACTCCAGAAGGTCACCGATATGGTGGTCCAAAATGTCACCGAACAAAGATCAGAATGTCGTGGACAATAAGTCACCAATGTCGGAGATACAAGTCCTAATGTAACCGGTGTCCAATCAGTGATGCCGCCGAGTATCAATCCCAACTATCTCCAAGTCTCGAATCCGGTAGTATCACAGGCTCTTACCACTGAAGTCCAAACACTGATCTCTGTCCAACTCGTACCAAAGTGTCCAATCTGAAGAAGAAGAAGAAGTCTGAAGACGAAGAAGAAGAAGAAGAAGAAGAAGAAGAAGAAGAAGTCTGAAGGAGAGGAAGAAGAGGTGGCAGAGGAGGAGGGAGAGATGGTGAGGTAGGGAGGAGGAGAATCCTTGCTGCCCTGTCCCTGGCCCTAGGCCTTACCTGCAGGTGCGCGCTAGAGCCGTTGAAGACCTCCTTCAAGCTGGGACAATGGCGCCACAGGTAAGCGCCAGGTAATTACCTCCTACTCTCTCTATCCCTGTGCAGTCCAGCGCTAAACCTCGCGCTGCTGCCTCTAGCACTGCGCTCTAAACAGAATAGCGCAGCGCTCCTCCAGTGTGCCCCTGCTCCAGATCTGGGAATGGCCGCTGGACCGACCTAAGTACCGTCCGGCGACCGGTCGGCCTCGATGCTGGCCTCCTGCGCCGTGGGCTGAACCGTCGAAATGACCGTTCAGCTCAGACCGGCAGGCGGCTGCAATGACTTGCTGATTTCTACTGCCGAGATTGATTGCGAGGCTGTACACTAACCGGTAGGGTTAGATTCGTAATTTTGTTTGGCTGAGGGCTAACCGAGAGACCTGCCTGTAGGGAAATTCGTGAGGGACATATCTGCAAATCTGGGAAAATATAGGCCCAGTACTAACCCGAATTCCTACAGCTACCCTAACTGCGTATAGCAGGCCCGGGCTACCCCTAGGACAGACAGGCCCTAAGTGGCCTATGCTGATAGACGGTCCTATAGCCTATAGCCGGGTCCGGTAGAGGCCGAGAGGCCGATACAGCAACGGTACCGGTCGCTCAGTCAGTCCGGTCTAGGTCTGGCATAGTCTATAGGTAGGTTAGGCCCATCGGTTCAGGACTTTTGGCAATTCATTTCTCGCGAAGCAGCATTAGAGAGGCCAAGCAAGTTGGTGGCGGTGATGGTCTACAGGCGGCATCATGAGACTCGCCGTTGACAGCAGCCATAGCCGGCCCAGTCTAAGTCTGCCATAGCTGGGGCATCCTCAGCGCATCTACCCCTGGGGGTATCTGCGTATGGCCAGGCTACATCGAGGCTCTACAGTGTGTGTTCGTGGGTGGTGGCAGCCATAGCTGCCTGTTCCTTCGTCAGAGTTGTCCATCGGCACTAAAGCCTCCATCGCAGGACCTGTTCTTCATCAGGGTGGTTGGCGCTGGCCACCGGGAGGCCATTCTGATGTGGCGCTACTAACTGGGTGTAGGATAGAGAGTGGGGTGTGAGTTCTGAGAGTGGCGAGATACTGGAACAAACTCTGTTACGATAATTGTTTGAGTTGGCTCATCATCAGTGTGCCGGTTCTACTTGTGATTGGCTGTTGGGAGTGTGTCAGAGAGAGAGAAACATTGTGTCTTCTCCCCATCTGAGCATAGCTGTATTCCGCTGCCTACTCTGATCAGTGTGCAGTGTGGACTATGTCTCCTCTCCCCATTCTCTTATGCATGTATGGGCGTGTATGAGATTGTCTGTGTGCGAGTGGCGGTAAAAATCGTCAGACCACCAAGTTCATTACAGTTGGTATCAGAGTTGGGATTGGAATTGGAACACTGAGGGTTGAGCGCACCGAGGCATCTTCCTCATCTGGCGATCTACTGGCGAGAGTTTCATGGCGATTCATCTTCCCCAGTACTGAGTCAGCAGGGAAGAAGACTTTCAGCGGTGGATTCAAGTGTTCAGTGGTTGCACTGAGCAAGCGCACTGAGCCTGTCAGGGCGCTTGTCAAGAAGTGGCGAGTACAGGGCTAATTCGCCATAGCCAACCATGAGGGTAGTTCTGCGAATTACCCCAAAGTGGCGAATTACCCCTGAGGACATCAGGGAACCTTGAGCGGCATTATCCCTGGGTTGCGCTGAGGGAGATTGACATACTGTATCAATCTCCAGGAGAAATAACCCCATATGCGGCTATTTTTAGCATCAGCAGCTACCAGGCACTGTGGCAAGATATTTTGGTGTTGGCTATCTGGGCGCCACAGGACCAGATACAGTGTATCTGAGTTGAGGGAGTGCAGCGCTACAGGATCCTGAGGAGGATCAACAAGTTTGAAGCAGTTCTGTGCGTGGGATTATCAGGAGGAATATTTGGAGGAATTGGCGAGATAAGGGTTATCATCAGCCATAGCCAGATCTTCATCATCACCTGCAAGATTCTCTGAAAGTGAGTCCGTTCCATGCACCTACCTGTATTGCGATCCATATAGTATTAGTTTAGTTAATTATAATGGTCTATCTGTCTGCTAGTGACTGGACGTGAAAATCGTAGACTGCATGACAGCCATAGCCATTTCTCCCCTACCTCTCTCTGCTCATTTCTCACCCTCTGTTGACTCTTTCTGATCCAAAATTGTTCTGCGACTGCTATACTGCATTGCGATTATTCTGGGATGCTCAAACTGTGAATTCTGCGCTGGAAAGGTAGTGATACAGTGAATTGCAGTTTTGCGCTGAGTCTATTTTTAGCTCGTGCTACCTAGGGTTAGTCGTAACTTCAATTATGTCCGTCAGAATCCAGTTCTGTCAGTCCCCAGTGAATCGCAATCCACAAATAGGTAATACTGTAGAATCGCAGGATTGGATTTGCAGTATTTCAATGGATACAGTGAAAATTGTAATTCCCCATACCCTAGGGTATGGCCGCCAGAGTCATCAGAGTCTAAAATTGAGTCTGAGTCATGATACAGGGTGTTTGTCTGCATCGCTTGTTGTGGTTGATCCCTCTAGTCAGTACTAATCATCTTCCATCATTCTCACCGATGACACTTGTTTTCT